TAATCTGATAAAAGACATCTACAGAAAACTTATAGCTAACATCATACTTGATGGTGGAGGATAGAACCAAAAGGCAAGGATGTCCATTCTCACCACTTCCATTCCATATCATACTGGAAGACCTGGCTAGTGCAGTAAGTCAAGAAAAAGAAAAGAGACTAGAGAGGAAGGGAAAAAAATGTCCCTATTTGCAGATGATATGACTGTCCATATGGAAAATCCCATGCAATATACTAAAAAGTCTATAAGTTTAGCAAGATTGAAGGATACAAAAATCAACACAGTTATTCATATTTCCAGTATATATTAGCAGTGAATGACTTGAAATGAAATTACCAAAACAATGCCACTTACAACAGTCCAAAGAAAAATACTTAAGGTCTAGCAAAACATGTACAGTATCTGTATGTGGAAAAACACAAAATGCTGATGAGAGAAATCAAGACCTAATAAATGGAAAGGCACACCATGTTCATGGACTGGAAGACAATATAGTTAAGACATCCATTCTCTCCAGCTGATCTGTAGATTTATTTATTTTTTTTTAAAGATTTTATTTATTTATTTGAGAGAGAGAATGAGATAGAGCATGAGAGAGGGGAGGGTCAGAGGGAGAAGCAGACTCACTGCTGAGCAGGGAGCCCAATGCGGGACTTGATCCCGGGACTCCAGGGTCATGACCTGAGCCGAAGGCAGTCGCTTAACCAACTGAGCCACCCAGGCGCCCTGATCTGTAGATTTAATATAATTCCAATCACGATCTCAACAGGATTTTCTGTAGACACTGATTCTAAAATACAAATGGTAAAGCAAAGGAACTAAAATAACCCAAACAATTTTGTAAAAGAAGAACAAAGTTGAAGCACTCTCTACCCAATTTTAAGAATTACTATAAAGATACTTATGACCATAAATAAAGATTAATGAAACAGAAGACAGAGTCCAGAAATAGGCCTACACAAATGTGACATTGATTTTTAACAAAAATGTGAAAGCAATGCAATAGAAAAGGTATTCAATAGAATACCTTTGTTGTCTCCAACAAATGGTATTGAAACAGTTGGATGTCCACATGCAAAAACTGAACCTTGACCTCACAAAAACTCAAAAAACTAGTTCAAAATGGGTCATAATCTAAATTTGAAATGTAAAGCTGTAAAGCTTAGAAAATAAGATGAAAGAAAAACTTTATGTTCTGGACTTAGGCAAAAAGTTCTTAGTTACGTATGACGCTAAAAGCATGATCCATAAGAGGAAATTTTGGTAAGAGGAAATAATGGTAAATTGGTCTTAATCAAAATTTAAAACTTTTTTTAAAAGATTTTTTATTTATTTGACAGAGAGACAGCGAGAGAGGGAACACAAACTGAGGGAGTGGGAGAGGGAGAAGAAGGCTTCCCAGTGAGCAGAGAGCCCGATTCCGGGCTCGATCCCAGGACCCTGGAATCATGACCTGAGCCGAAGGCAGACGCTTAATGACTGAGCCACCCAGGCACCCCCAAAATTTAAAACTTTTGTTCAGAAAGATACTGTTAAGAGAATAAAGACAAGCTATAGACTAGGAGAAAATATTTGCAAATCACATATCTGACAAAGAACTTGCATCCAAAATATATAAAGAACTCTCAAAAGGAAATAGTGCTATTTAAAAAACGGGCAAGGGCACCTGGGTGGCTCAGTTGGTTAAGCAACTGCCTTCAGCTCAGGTCATGATCCGGAGTCCTGGGATTGAGTCCCACATCGGGCTCCCTGCTCTGCAGGAAGCCTGCTTTTCTCTCGGCTTGTGTTACCTCTCTTGCTGTCTCTCTCTCTCAAATAAATAAAAAATTAAAAAAAAAATTTAAAAAAAATTTAAAAAATTTTAAATGGGCAAAAGCCTCACCAAAGAGAATATACAAATGGCATATAAACACATGACAAAATGTTCAACATAATTTAGTCTATAGAGAAATACCAATTAAAATCACAATGACTACTAGGACGTACCTATTACAATAGCTAAACTTAAAAAAATACACTAATGCGTGCTAATGAGGATGTGGAGCAACTGGAACTCTCATACATTGCCAGTGGGAGTGCAAAATGGTATAGCCACAAAGGAAAACAGTTTAGCCATTTCTCATATAAGTTAAATATATTTTTTCCATATGACCCAGCAATCCCACTTGTGGGTATTTACCTTAGAGAAATGTTATGTTCACCCCAAAACCTGTACATGAACGATTTAACATCTATTCCTAATCACCAAAAATTGCAGACAACCCAGATACCCTTCAGCGGGTCAATGGATAAAACTAGCACAGTAGCCCACCCACCCCACCCCACCCATAGTTGCACTCTATAGTTTCAGTTACCCATGGTCAACTGTGGTTGGGAAGCGGACGATCCTCCTTCTGACATATGGTCAGAAGGTAGAAGGTCAGGAGTAGCCTTGGGCTAAGTCTTAATATATATGTCATTCACCTCACTTCACCTCATCACAAAGGCATCTTACCATCTCACATCACAAGAAGGGTGAGTACAGTACAATCATATTTTGAGAGACAGACCACATTCCCATAACTTTCATTACAGTATATTGTTACGTTTGTTCTGGTTTACTGTTAATTTCCTACTTGCCTAATTTATAAATTAAACTTTATCATAAGTCGGTATGTATAAGAAAGGGAAGTGGGAGGCATTACTATACATTCAAATAATGCAATACTGCTCAGCCATCAGAAGGAAAGAACTATAGATAATGCAACAACAAAGATGGATCTCAAAGGCATTTATACAGAAGGAAAGCGTCTTAGGGTTACATCCTCTAAAAAAATAAGCACTACATGCTGTAGGATTCCATTTATATGACATTCTTGAAGAGATAAAACTGAAAAGATAAGTGGTTGCCAAGGGTTGCGGTTGGGGGAGGGGTGACTACAGAAGGGTAGCACAAAGGGAGGTTTTTTTGGATTCCTGGTTTTTGTATCCTCATTGTGGTAGTTAATAGGAGTCAATACATCTATTAAAACTCAAGATACTACACCCTCCAAAAGTCCATTTTACTGTATGCATGTTAAAATTTAAAAACATAATAGGATATAAATTATTTTATACAGAGTAAAACCTTTGAATTCTTCAAGAAAGTTATTCTGCTGAAAATGATGTAAAAGTGAATGTGGTCATCTGACTATAAAATGAAAAGACCTACTTTGTAACTTCCCGGGGCAGCAGGAATTCATGGTTGTGCCTGCTATTCAAGAGCATTTGACACCAGTTTCCTTTGCATGCTGAGGACAGAATCACCAGAGATTAATACTGAATTCCCTTTGCTATTCCTCCGTCTTTTGGTCTGTAACTCCTTCAGTTCTTCCCTGAAATGAAGATTGAAGACCAGTTTTCCTTCCGGGCGGGTGTGTGTGTGTGTGTGTGTGTGTGTGTGTGTGTGTGTGGTGTTTCTTTTACCTCCTGGTGTGTGTGTGTGTTTCTATTACCTCCTGGATGTGTGTGTGTGGTGTTTCTTTTACCTCCTGGTGTGTGTGTGTGTGTGTGTGGTGTTTCTTTTACCTCCTGGTGTGTGTGTGTGGTGTTTCTTTTACCTCCTGGTGTGTGTGTGTGTGTGTGTGTGTGTGTGTGTGTGTGTGTGTGTGTGTGTGTGTGTGTGTGGTGTTTCTTTTACCTCCTGGTGGGTGGGTGTGTGTGTGTGGTGTTTCTTTTACCTCTCTTTGAGACAGGATTTAGGGTAGCTACTTCATCCTGTTAGATAACTCCAAGTGCTCCCAAGTTTTCCCTGGCTTTTCTAATTTTTAAAAAAATGACACCTATATTTTAGGGATGTCTGGTGGCTCAGTCGGTTGAGCAACTGCCTTCGGCTCAGGTCATGATCCTAGGGTCCTGGGATCGAGCCCCGCATCGGGCTCCTTGCTCAGCAGGGAATCTGCCTCTCCCTCTCCCTTCTACTCCACCTGCTTGTGTGTTCTCTCTCTCTCTCAAATAAATAATCTTTAAAAAAATTTTAAAAATGACACCTATATTTATTTTATTTTTTTAAGATTTTATTTATTTATTTGACAGATAGCGAGAGCAGGAACACAAGCAGGAGGAGTGGGAGAGGGAGAAGCAGGCTTCCCGCTGAGCAGGGAGCCTGATGTGGGACTCAATCCCAGGACCCTGAGATCATGAACTGAGCCGAAGGCAGACGCTTAACGACTAAGCCACCCAGGCGCCCGACACTTACATGTTTAAAATACCACTTAAAATTTTCGATCACTGTCATTTTTCCTCTATATATATTTTCTTGGGGTTTCTTTACTATAAAGGACTCTTTTTCTCTTGAGACTTCTGCATCCTATCTGGAATTTTGCCCTCCTTGTGTGCTACCTGTGGATGCCCTGGGTTTGTTCATCTCAGTAATTCCCTGCACACCTGAACTCGAGTTGCCAGCTAGGTTTTAGGGTAGTGAGAGGCTGTGCTGGTTGTCCTACAGAAATGGCCTCAGGACTTTCCTGAATGGAACTAGCAGAACTCCATGGTCAGCAAATGGCTTTTTTTTTCCCCTCACAGTATATCCTCCCCCCTCTGTCCCTATCATTATATCAAAGATTTTGCATCCAAAAAGAACAGATCCAATTGTTCTGGGGACCTGGAATGACTCCTGTCCATTTTGCCTTTCCTTAGGAGGCCCTATTCAAATTGGGTAAATGGTCTGTAATCCAGAGGATCAGATTTTGCTTCATCAGCTATTTTTTAAAAATCCAGTGTAATGTTGAAAATCTACTCCCCTACACAATGAAAGAAGAGTGCTTACAGTTGTTCATAATGCCTGAAAAGTGATTGTTAGTTTTTAAGTACAGGAATTTGACAGAATGTGAAAAAGTTCTTGGGTATGTAAGACTCACTTTTACTTTTTAGTAGTTTATTTTAGTATCTGATATTCTGATTACACCTGTCATTATACAACAGTTAAAACTGTCATTATACAACAGTTAAAAAAAAAAAGTGTTTTTTTTCCCCTTTTGTAGGCTGTCATTATTTGTATCAAAAACAAAGAATTTGAAAAGGCTTCAAAAATTTTGAAAAAACATATGTCCAAGGACCCCACAACTCAGGTAAATTTGATATATTTTTGCTCCCATAACTTAAATCCATCTCATTGTTTTTTGTGGGGAACAGGGAAAGGGTTCTTTGTCAGGAATTTATCTAAATATTTGGCACCTTTAGCATGTTGTCTTTTATATCCAAGATAGCTTATTGTAAGATTGGCTTTTCAAAATTTATTTTTCATTATACAAATTTACCTAAATTATTTTCTTGCCCGTTTCTGTCAGGTTTGTGACAGAACTTTATTTAAAGTGATCAGCACCAGATATTAAACTATCAAGTTCTGTAACACTTTTAACTTTATTTACATAAATGCTGATCCTGCAGACTTGAGAATCTGCTTGGTGAGGACTTAATTCCTCTGGTTCCTGGTGTCAAAAGCTCTGTTGGTGTCCTGCTTTTTTTTTTTTTTTATAAATCTAATTTTGAGTTCTTGAAAAGGTAATACATGCACATAATAAAATTCAAAAGGTACAACAAAAGAGCTTAGCTCATCTCTTAAGTCAGCCACCTCATTCCTCTTCATAGGCAACCAGTTTTTTTTCTTTTATCCTTTCAGAGATATTCTGTGCATATGCAAGCAAACAAATGTGCATGTGTGTATATAGAGATATACATGTATATCCATTCTTCCTGCTCTTCCCATATGCACATGTGAGCATATTCTACACCCTAATTTGAGCATTTCGTAAATTGCTTTTTTCACTTAACATATCTTGAAGATTGTTGTGTATTACCACATAAGGAGCTGCTTCATCCTTTTTTTTCTTAAGTTTAAAAATCTTTATGTAAATGTATAAAGGTACTTTAGATCCTAAGCTTCATCTTTTTTTTATAGCTACATAGTAACCCACTATGGCTGATACATAATTTATTGACCTGTTCTTTGTGGTATGCTTGCATAAATCTTCCCCTTCCTATATATATATACCAGTGATTGCAATTGACAGCATTGTGAAAGTTAATGTTGTCTCAACTCATCATCATTGAATTTTTACTGGAGTTTTCCTCTCTTATGTCACAAATATTGGTCCTTTGTGTAGAAGCTGAGAAATGATCTCCTGAACATTATCCGTGAGAAGAACTTGGCCCACCCTGTTATCCAGAACTTTTCCTATGAGACCTTCCAGCAGAAGATGCTGCGCTTCCTGGAGAGTCACCTGGATGATGCAGAGCCCTACCTCCTCACGGTGGGCCTTGGCCTTCTCTTCCCATAACCGTGATGTGGCCTTGAGGATGTGCAGGCAATTAGAAAAGGACAGCTCTTTTTAGAAGTGAAAAGAGTAAATGTGTGTAAAAGACTTTGAATTATATGCACTGTCTTCCTTAATTAAATGCCTTAAATATACAGAAGCAGAGATCCTGACAGAGGCAAAATAGAACATACCTGGTTTCCCTCACCTCCCATTTATACCTTCTACATGTGATTAATCTGTGTGGCTAAAGTAGGGGCACACTTAAAATTAGTGGTGGTTCCCAAAGGAGATGAAATTTGAGTTCAGTTTGGGAGGAAGAGTGGTTTGGTAGACATGGTGTGATGGGGTTAACAGGAAGAGGGAATAACTGGAGAAAAAAGGTGTGACTAGAAGTATAAGGGAAAAGAAGCCAAATGTAGACATTCTTTAACTGGATCAAAGTGATAAGCAGAAAGAATGGTAGCAGTGAGGCTTAGGACAGCATGTGGAAGAATTAGAACACAGTCTGTTCTAGAGGGTGGGTTGTGATATTGGATAACTGAGTGAGTTTTGTTGTTGGTTTTTTTTGTTTGTTTGTTTTTAAATCACCAACATTTAGAGAGTGTTGAGAATATCTTAGTTTGGGGTGACTGGCTGGCTGAGTCAGTAGAGCATGCAACTCTTGATCTTGGGGTTGTGAGTTTGAGCCCCACATTGGGTGTAGAGATTACTTAAAAATATCTTAAAAAAAAAAAAAGAAAGAAAATATCTTAGTTCATAACAGTAGATCTGCCAAGCCCATGTTAGGATAGTGTCATTGATCGTAGCAGTCATTTGGCAGATGTCGAATTATCTGCAAAGCAGATAGTTTGAGATATTCAGGGTACAAGTGTCAGGATACTTGAGCCTTGCCTACCGTCCTTTCTCTTATATTAAAGATAACTGGAAAATAAACTGCCACTGTTTCTGTGAGGGGAGAGACCTTTCAGTTCTTAAGACATTACTTGTTACAGGCATACATATCTGAAACAGAATGATACTGGACTGATTAGAAATTTTTTTCTTTTTTTAAATAATTTTTATTGTTATGTTAATCACCATACATTACATCATTAGTTTTTGATGTAGTGTTCCATGATTCATTGTTTGTGCATAACACCCAGTGCTCCACGCAGAATGTGCCTTCTTTAATACCCATTACCAGGCTAACTCATCCCCCCACCCCCCTGGACTGATTAGAAATTTATAAAATTTTAGTCAAAGGGAGGGAGATGAGTAGTTGGAGTCAGAGCAAGATTGGCACACTCAGGACTTTATGTGGTATTAGGATTTTCAGAGTTACCAGGCAACATATTTGTGGGAATATAGTTACAAAAAATTTTAGACACAAACTAAAAGACACTAACATAAACATTAGTTATCTTAAGTTTGAAAAAAAAAAGTCTGACTTTTGTGCATGACCCCAAAGGTATATTTGGCATTCAGAAACTAGATTAGGGATGAGATTGGAAGAACAGCAAAGGAAGAACAAAGTAAAATTACGTACTTATTTGTTGTCCAAAAGGTTAAAGAATTCTTGCAAGTATCAGGATGGTTAGCACCACTCAAATTGAATTCTCCCTTAGTATAGAAAACTGTGAGCCATTTTTTGAAGAAGGAAAAAGCAGGATATTTGAAATAGTTCTTGTGAGTTCTCTCCCCTTCTATGTCCTCCTCTAGTTTATGCCTAGATTGGATTTATAAGTGAACATGTTTGCATGTTGAGTATGTATGTTTGTGGTGAAAGAAGAGAATTAATGAAATTCTGTGGCTTCCTCTTCCTGATGACATCCTTCTTTTCCCAGATGGCCAAGAAGGCTTTGAAATCTGAGACTGCTGCCTCAAGTACAGTGAAGGAAGATAAACAGCCAGCACCAGAGCCTGTGCAAAAGCCACTCAGAGAACCTGCAAGGTGAGAGGGATGCCCTTTTGCAATCTTGGGCGAAACACAAGGGTAGTCTGTTGGAAGCAGTCTCCTTAGAGCAGAATCAGTTAGTTCCTCCTGGTACTGAAATGTTACTGGATTACTTGTACCAGGCACTGTGGGAGTTACAGAGCATGCCCTGGGAAAATGAGAATATTGAAGACAGGATGTCATATCCCAGACAGAAGTTGCTGACTGGCTATTCCTCAGAGGTTCTTTCCTTCTTTGTTCTCCTATCCTTGCCTTGCCCATATCTACACACTGCTTCCTTGTGGATACCTGATCTCTTAATGTAGTGTTCAGACTTGTGAATCAGATTCCCAAAACAAGTTTTTAAAGTAGGGATCAAAGTTTAGATGCCTTTGGGGGCCCAGTAGGAAATGTACAAGAGTGGGTGTAGGATAATACAGAGCATGTGAATGTGAACCAAAGAGTGCATGCTTTTCAGCTTTGTGTGATTGTTGCTATGTGGGAATGTCCAAGGATGCCCAAACTTTAGTTCAAATTTTTGTGTGAGACATTTAGGGTTTTTTGTTTTTGTGGTTTTTTTGAGCTTTCCCAGTTTCTGAATGTTGGCAGTTAGTCCAACTAAAAAAAAACAACAAAATTTGCATAGGTTAGGCAACAAGACATATCTACCAAATGGGTTTGGCTTGTAGGCTGCCAGTTTGCCCTCTCCTAACAGTTTTTATTTAAAGTATACTAGTGGGGTGCCTGGGTGGCTCAGTTGTTAAGCGTCCGCTTTTGTCTTAGGTCATGATCCCAGGGTCCTGGGATCGAGCCCCGCATCGGGCTCCCCGCTCCGCAGGAAACCTGCTTCTCCCTCTCCCACTCCCCCTGCTTGTGTTCCCTCTCCCGCTGTGCCTCTGTCTCTCTGCCAAATAAATAAATAAATATCTTTTAAAAAAATAAAGTATACTAGTTATTCCAAATGATAAATGAACTTACCTTTATTATGAAAAGGCAGTTTCTCATTGTTCTAAGACTGTGTGGCACACTTCTAACTTGGGAGAATTCTCAAAAGTCCCATTTAGAAGTGTACTGTAGGAGGAAGGGGGCAGAATGGAGACCGATCTTTTCCTTCTCTCACAGGAGGGTTGGACTGGACAGCAAAGTGAGATTGCTAGATTGTCGGTTGGTTGCCCAGGCTGACTTGTAGCTGTTAGGCACTATACAGAGTTCTTACATAGTGGAAAGCAGTGTTTTACTGTGCTTTAGTTCATGCAGACAAAAGGGGTTAGTGCACTGGCTAAAAAGGTCTCTTGGAGGGGGAGTATCATTGGCTCTAGTCCTTTAAAGTTCTTACTTGGAGTTTAAACTCCAGAGTTCAACTTACATATTTAAAGCCTCTACTTATACTTATAAATGCAAGCTTTATAAAGTTGTTCTGAGTTTTTTCTTTTAATTTTTTAAAGATTTTATTTATTTGTGAGAGAGAGCACAAGCAGGGGGAGCTGCAGGCAAAGGGAGAGGGAGAAGCAGGCTCCCCACTAAGCATGTAGCCTGATGCGGGGCTCAATCCCAGGACCCTGAGATCATGACCCGAGGTGAAGTAAGACGCTCAACTGAGCGAGGCACCCAGGCACCCCTCTTTTATTTTTTTAAATGAAGAGTCCTCAACTCGAAGAGTCCTCTTTCTCATTTGAAGCTTCACACTTTGGAAAAGTTGTGGCTCTTTGGATGAGCATCAGCAATGGTGAGATTGATCTTTGTATATTTGCTTTATATATAGGCAGTTACGGAGTACTCCAACCACCATTGGAATTATGACCTTGAAAGCAGCTTTCAAGACTCTGTCCAGTGCACAAGATTCTGAGGCAGCCTTCTCAAAACTGGACCAGAAAGATCTGGTATTTCCTAATCAAGTGTCCCTACCATCACCAGCCCTCAAAAACAAGAGACCAAGAAAAGATGAAAATGAAAGTTCAGCCCCTGCTGAGGGTGAGGGTGGCTCTGAACTGCAGCCCAAGAACAAGCGCATGACAATAAGCAGATTGGTTTTGGAGGAGGACAGCCAGAGTACTGAGCCGAGCGCAGGTCTCGACTCCTCCCAGGAGGTCGTCCCAGCATCACCATCCAAGCCCACCGTTCTCAACCAGCCCCACCCTGGGGAGAAGATTCCCAAGTATGAAGACCTTCTTTGTAGCAGTTTTGGGGCTGGTTGGTGGTCCTGGTTGGGCCTGGTATTGCTTCCATGAATGAAGTAACTTTCAGCTAAGTTATTCACCACCAAGGCTTGCTCAAACTGCTAGAATGTGACTTGGGAGTGGGGAGTGACAACATAGCCATCCCTGGCAGTTCTGAAGCCCCACCTGTGGGCTTCCAGGCATTGCTCTAGGTGTGAGTGAGGATGGAAGGGTTTCAGAGCCTCCTCATTGCTGCTTTCATTTCTAGTAAACTTCTGAATGCCCTGACTATTAAATATCAGTCTTCTTTGTTAAAAGAAATTTGTTTGAATTAGGCTACTTTAGACTCTGATCTTAAAAAAGATTTATGAATATTTATAGTTTTGCACCTTCTAAGAGCAATTAAGACTTGGCAAATTGAGTAAATATCTACTAATCTCTCACATTCTGCTAGGTTCTATGGGGCAGTGGTTAGAATGCTTTTATTTTGCTCCCCATCATGACCCCCAACCTAGCTTTCAAGTTTTGCTACCCTTTGTGCCCTCTTGTGGATCCTTCCTCCAAGCAAACTGGTTTGCTTGTTCTCTCTGGAACACACTTGGTTTTTGCTACTGTACTCTTCTTGCTTCCTGTCATTCCCCACAGTTGGACTATCATTCCTCCATCGTTCCTTGTGAGAATCCCATCCATCCTTCAGAGGGAAAAGATGCTGCTATTGACTAAGTACTTTCCATGGGCCAAGCACCTCTCACATATTATTTTACTGAATCTCTAGAATCCTCATTCTGTGAGTGATATATTAGCCCCATTTTAGAAGGTTTAGAAAAGTTATTAACTTGCCTGAAGTCACAAACCTGAAAAGTGGCAAAGTTGGGCTTTGGGATTTTTTTTTTAAAGTAGGCTCCACACTTGGTGTGGAGCCCAGTGAGGGACCTGAACTCAGATCTTGACTCAAAGTCCATGGCCTATACACCACATACGCCAAGCTGCCTCTTAAAATTCTCCCTCCTCCATGTATCTCCCCTGGTCACCCTGCTATAAGTGATCACCTCGCTGGTCCCCCAAGGCCATTGCCATCTCTACCACTGCTCTGTTGTAGTGTGGAGACCTATGCTCTGACATGCACGTGCTAGATACCCAGAGAGGCTGTGACATCTAAATGATTAATACTCAGGCATGAATCTTCACTATATGTACCACTACCTGCATCTGGGTGTGAGTGAGTTATTGGCCGGGCAAGCAAATGGAGCTCAACACATTTTATTCTCATTTGATACATGATCTCCTTTATTCCTTGCAGTAATCCTATAAAGTATAGCTATTATCCCATGAACAGATGAAGAAACTAGAGAGAGTACATGGTTACAGTGGTTTTATAAATGGGAGGATTTGTGAAGGTTTAGACCTTTCCACCTCTCTCATGTGTCAAGGGCATGAAGTATCATGGGTACTCTAAAGCAGAGGTTGGCAAACTACAGCCCCTGGGCCAAATCTACCTGGTACCTGTTTTTGTAAATAAAGTTTTATTGGAACTCAGCCACGAACATTATATATGTATTGTCTGTGGCTGCTTTTGATGCTACACTGAGTTGAGTAATTGGAACAGAGCCAATAAGGCCTGCAAATCTGAAGATATTATCTGGCCCTTTATAGGAACAGCCTGGTTGTAAAGGAATTGTGTGAGTTACCCGGGAGCTCCAGGAAGAAGAGCTGAGTCTGCTCAGCAAAGTTGTGGGTAGATCAAGCCTTGCAGAGGAGCAAATGTTGAGCTGACCTTGAAGGAAGAGTAGGAAGTCATCAAGCATATTGTGGGTGGGGGTTCTAAGCAGCAGAAACCCCTTAAAAGTCATGAGAAAGCCTGGTATGCTCCAGAAAATGTCATGTACTCTGTATGGCAGAATATAATGCACAGAGAGGATGAAGGGAGAAATGTCTGGATGGGTAGATGGGCCAGGTCTTGAGTTCCTATTGTATTCTATCAGGCAGAGGTTCTTAAGCTGGGTTTCGCATCACAGTTACCTGTGGAATGTTTAATAAAATACACAATCCCAGGCTCCTGAGTACTGAATTAGAAGGGGCAGGGGATGGGTCTGTAATCTTCTTTTCTAACTGTGCTCCCAGATAATTCTAATACAGCTAATCTGAGGGCCTGATGAGCTACCATTGATGGCTTTTGAACAGGCACTGAGGCAAAGGAGACAAGATGGGTGGCTGGAGACTGCTACGGGATGAGTAGTTAGGACCTGGAGAAAGCTGGGCTGGTGGAATTGACAGCAGGATTAGGGTGTGTCACCTGGAGGGCAGGGTCACAATTACTAGATTTTTATATGTTCTATGGCACTTGGCAAGGACAAGTGCTGATTAGATACTTTCTGACCAAATAATAATTCTTGGTTCTTGCAATTTAAAGGGTCATGCCCAAAACTTCTATAAAAGGCCAGCAAAGGGTTAACATTTTAGGCTTTCTGGACCACTTGTGTCTCTGTTGTTTATTTTTTGTTTTGTTTTGTTTACAACCCTTTGAAAATGTAAAAACCATTCTTAGCTCAAGGGGTGTACAAAAACCAGCCACAAGCTGTAGTTTGCCGACCCCTTGAGACCAGACCCCTCTAGCCCATTCATTGCTCATCAAATTCTAACTTTACAAAGAGGAGCTTAAGGACCAGGAAGTGACCTGACTTGCCCAGAACCGCAGAGCCATCAAACAATGAGATGAGGACCCAGATCTCATTCTCTTCTATAATAGAAGTTAGGCAGTACCAAACATTTGTACACAAAATAAGTGCTGAGTTCAAAGGAAGAGCAGGTTACCAAAATGATCTGTGCAGATTGTCTGCAGGAAGAATGAGCAGATAACGCAGGTGGAAATGACAGATCCGGAGGTTAAAATCAGTTTTATCCCAGCATGGGGATAAGCAGGTAGAAAACTGAAACTATAATCCTGACTTATTTATAAATAGTAATTAACACAGTTAATATCCTGAAAAGGAAAAACCTCATGTAATCTTTTCACTTGTCTCAAGCAAATTATTCTCAGAAATAACATTTTGGGGGATATGAACCAATTCAAACATAATGAAAAGTAGATGGTTCACCATTTGTCTCAGCCATCTAATTTCATAGAAAACTCATGGAACTCAAATTTTTTTCAAGTCTGTACTTCTTAAACGAACTGCTTTCATTACTCATTTGCAAAATACCTAGCCAGTCTTACAAATAGATTTCTGGTCATAGTGGGGGAAGGAGACTGAAGTTTGTCTCTACTCTCTTGATCAAGTTTTATAGGATCTGATCTATATAACTTCTTCAAATTTAATTCAGATACTTCCCATGTTACTTTGTAATTGATGTTACAATTCTGAGGTCAGATTTGTGCTGTGTTCTGTTCCCAGGGCAATTGTACTATTAATCAGGTAAACATGGTTACAGTTGATTAGAAAAGACTGACTACAGTTTTCATTTATTCAATAATTTGGGTTTGGGATTATTTTTTAGTTTTGGGATTTTTGGTTATACTCAAGTACTTAACATTTCATGTGCACAGAAAGGATTCTTACTTGCTTACTATGCTAATCTTCAATGGTATAATTTATTTGCTGCTCTTTGATAATCCTATTTTTACTTTAGCACGTTTTTCCAGCTGCTGTTAGGGTATGTGTTACCATGCTAGGTGTTTGGGATGGACAGATGAAGATACAGCCCTTGCTTGCAACGTGCTTATGATTAGGGTGTATGTTATGAAATGGCTGTTTTAATAAAATGGAAGCACAACCACAAGGGCAGAGGAGTGGGGTTTTTTTGTGTGTTGGGGGCCTAGATTTAGGGCAGGCTTCATTGGGAATGATGGCCTTAAAAAATGGGTAGAATTTTACTTGGCAGGGAAGAGAATCCTAAGCAGAGGGAACTGTAGAGAGAAAAGTTATAGAGCTTATAGAAGGAAAAGAGGAGCAGAAGGCGTGGCTCTGCTGTTTGTGCTGATGCGGTTGTGGGGGCAGGGTTGGAGAGAGGAGGCTTCGGTAGCAAAAAACTGGCTGGAGCCAGAGTGGATGATCTTGACTGATCCTCCATACAGGCTTCATTGTTGAGGCAGTGAGAAGTGATCATGGAACGGAGAAAGGATGAGGTAATTTTAGACTGATGTTCAGATGCTTTTGGAACGGGAAGGGGCTAGGGACAGAGACTCCAGTTAAGAGACCAGTGTTAGGTACCATATGCTTGGACAAGAGTGCAGTCCAGAGATAGGACTGGGCATGTCTTTGAAGGACTGGGAGCAGTTTGCTCATTCTAGGTTAGAAGAATGCTGAGACCTTCAAAATCAGAGTCAAAACCAACCAAACAAAACCAGGAAAATGAGCAGATTTTGAAGGGGTTAGTGGTGTATTCACTGCTCAGTTTGAGGGATGATCCTGTGGCCTGCGGGACAACGACATGGAGATGCCCAGCCAGGTCAGCATTTGGGAGTTGTGTGTTAAGTGAATCTCAACTGTGGTCACAGCAGAACAGGGAGGAGTATAGGCCATGAAGAGAGCCAAGGACAGACTATGGATGACCCCAATGATCTGTTTTACATCTTGTCCTCTTGTTGATCTCCCCTCAGAGTACCCAAAGGCAAGTGGAACAGCTCTAATGGGGTTGAAGAAAAAGAGACATGGGTGGAAGAGGATGAACTGTTTCAAGTTCAGGGTAAGCTAGGACATTCTCCTCGGTCCTTGACATTAGCTGAATTATAGACAAGTGTTCCTATCGCATTAATGTTCTAAAAACTGCTGTCTCCAAACTAGAAAAAGTCCAGTAAGTTCCTTACTGTGATTCATGAGTAGTCCTAGTTTTATGTCCTTTCCCATTAAACAGTGGGGAGACTGTCAAAGCAGCACTTTATATTTAAAGAGAATGCCTGGTTTTGTTTTAATAAATCCTATATCTAATTGTAGCTGATGTTCTTCCTAAAGTCTTTAAATTAAAAAAGGTAGATGTGGTCATTCCCTGCATTTCCTGTTTAAGTAAAAAATCTCTTACCAGTTTCAATATATAATTTTTTTCTAAAATAGGAAACTTTACTTTTCCATAATTAATACTAAAGTTCATAGCATTTGCAGTAGAATCTCTCCCACCACATACTTTGCATTCTAATGGAAATATCATAATCTTGGAGATTCTAAAGACTTTGGTAACACAGCAACAGTAAACCTCTGCCAGTCCCAAGGGTTTTGTCCTTAAAAAGTACCTTCATTGGCACAAACATAGTTGGCAGGATCAAGATCACACAGGAAATGGGGGAAGTAACAGAAAATCAATAAAAGTGGCATAAAATATTTAAAAACAACAGGATATAAAAGTTCTAGAAAACATCCACATCCAGTGCAGTCCAGATTTGTCAACTTTAAAATCTGCTTCCACTATAGTATGAAATACTTCATAACTTAAAACTAAATAATCTGCTCCTCTAAGTATCCCTTTTCCTGAGCCACCTTCATTGTTTAAGAAGACCTGCTAGGACAGTAGCATCTGCTGAAGCAGACATTCAGCAAATCATGTTTATGCAACTTTGCCTTTTCTTGCAGCTTTTTAATGGCTCTTGTTGGCTTCCAGTGGCATGTCTTTTATACTAGTAGACCCTTCTGTAGTCCTCTGGCCTTTAAAAAAATTATCTTGGTGCATTTTTTTGAGGCCTCATGTCTTTCCATATGGTGAGAGGGTGGAGCTTGAGCAGATCTCCTACGGTCTCTCTGAGTGGGGAGCAATAACTCTCCTGTTCTTTTGCTTAAGGAGCTGAAACACATTTTATTTACATAAAATGATCAGGGATTTGAAAATTCTGGCATAAAACAGTAAAATTGTGTTATTTCAAAGCAGTGGTTAGCAAGGGGTTACAAAGCAGAAATTATACACACAACACACACACACATACACACACAAGTATATAATACAGTCGACCTGTAAACAACACAGGTTTGAAATGCACAGGTCCACTTATACACATTTTTAAAAATACAGTATAATACTGTAAATATATTCTTATGATTTTCTTTTTTTATGATTTCCTTAACCTTTTCTCTAGCTCACTTTATTGTGAGAATATAGTATATGATACATTTAACATGCAAAATATGTGTTAATTGACTGTTTATGTTATTGGTAATGTTTCTGGTGAACAGTAGGCTATTATTAAGTTTTTGGGGAGTCAGCATGGATTGACTATATGGGGAGCTGGTGCCCCTAAACCCTGCATTCTTTAAGGATCACCTGTAGATGTGTATATATTAGAGTTTTAAATACCACAGTCCCTCAGTAATTTTAGAAAATCATGTAGGTTTTACTAAAGAGCCTGAAATCCATCACTAACCAATATTTATTGAATGTCCGTATGTAAAATATTTGCTTTGTACAGATTCTCATTGGCTGAAATGATTGATATCTTTCAAACAAAGGACAAAAACAAATTACCCTTCAGTGATATCCTTTTTCTCTCAATGTTGGGAAATTTCAGTCACGTTTTCCCTTTAGGAACATTCTATGTCTTTTTCTTGTGGTTTGTGCAGAGAAAGGTGAACTCTGAAATGAGTCTATTTTTAATGTTTTCCAGCAGCACCAGATGAAGAGAGTACAACCAGTATAACAAAAAAGCAGGTAATTTAAAATTACTTTTTCTGACCTTTTCTGGTAATGTGGGTAGAACAGAGGTAAAATAAGCACATCTCCTAGCATAGGCTATCCATGCACCTGTAAAAAGGTATTTTGCAATTTTCAGATAATCCAAACTGAGTTAAAGTCATAGTTATTTTCTGGAAGAAAAATCTGGACCAGAAATCTGACACATTCTCCTGACCATGAACAACATAACGTTTGAAGTTTTGAATGCAGAAGTGATTAGGATGAAATAGGACATTGAAAATTATTAAATGTCTAAATCCACAGTGTTAACTTATCTCTATCGTGTTTTAAAAATATAAACCCTTCTTTTGGGTTCAGATTCTTGTCCTAGGATTCTTGAGTTTACCTCTTAACCGTATGAAAATGTGAATAAGTGGAGAGACAGGTTGTGATAAATATTTTGGTCTTCTTTTGCAGAAGTGGACTGTAGAAGAAAGCGAGTGGGTCAAGGCTGGAGTGCAGAAATATGGGGAAGGAAACTGGGCTGCCATTTCCAAAAATTACCCATTTGTTAACCGAACAGCTGTGATGATTAAGGATCGCTGGCGGACCATGAAAAGACTTGGCATGAACTGAAACAGGCTTTCATTTCCACAGAATTCACAGGAGCATGGTTCCTAATAATAGCCCCTGATAGTCTGTTGTTTCTTTCAGAAGCTGGGCTGGGATGAGAATTTTGGGCATCCTCCTCCAACGTGGGGGAGGTCCCAGTTCTACTTCATCGATGTTGGAGATCATGGAGCTGAGAAACAAAGCCAAGTCCACCCCATGTCCTTGGCAGAGATGACAGGCACATAGCTTGTACAGTGCCAGAATATCATTAGTATTTCCCTTCTTTAGTGGTTTGCTTGAATTTAAATCCCTGGTAATCAGTAGAACCTTCTCCTAGGAAATGGTGGAGTCTGTTAGGAGCCACTTATGACTCTGACCTGTTAAAACCAGCAACATGAGCATTATTTGGAGTGAACTTGTTCCAGGTAAAGCTTTGGCCTTCTGATGCAAATGCAGAGGAACTTCATCTGTCATGAACTCAGGCTGATGAGAGCCCAGTCCTGGTGGAATCAGAGTCTCTTTTAAAAACTCTTTAGCCAGTTGTAACATCAACATCCAGATCTGACAGCCTTGGCATTTGCTCTTAATATTTGCTGGGCTACATAGGCAGGTTTAACCTCCACCTCTCCTGTGGTTGAACCAGTGTGTTTTTTTTGTAAAACGGTGATTGTAGATAAGCTTAGCCTTTTCCTCCATCCCCTCTGCCCAATTCCCTTCCTTATGCTGGACTTTTAAAGCTTAAAAAATCCTGACTGAATATAAATGCTTAATTCCATTCTTTGTGAAATGGTTGCTTCCGCCTGATTCCCTTATTGTGCTGTGTTAGTGTCTTGCTCTAAAAGTCAACATTCCCTTCTCCTTTTGTACTGTGTCGTGCTTGCTGTCTCTCTCGGACATCCTTAAAGACTGTCTTTTTGGCACACACACACAAAAAATCAGTAAAGTGTTTTCTGTAATCTTTTTTTAAAATATGAGAACTAAATACTGTCCATAACTTGTAGCATTCTTCATTAAAGTCTTGCTTCTCTCAAATGTTAAGTAGCTATTTAATTCCAGCACAGCATGTATGAGCAGTTGGAGGTAGCAAAATTGTTAAACAAGCTTTGCTGAACCATGCTGACTATGTTAAGACGCTGATGTCAGACTGTATTGGATGTTTTAATCCTTGAAAGCCATGTCAAACAGAAATGTGGGAATGTCCTCTTAATTTGTCCATACCCTCATATAACATATTTTTGGGACAAAGTTCCCCCTTTCTCACTTTTGAGTCAGTGAAAGGCAAGGTTCAGTTTTAAAATTCATCCTGTAGGTACAAGTTAGAAACTTTGTATAGCTTTATTATCTATTTACATGTTTTGGGATTTGGTACTACTGTCTTTTTTTTTAAGTTAACCCCAAATGAAGCTACAGTGAAAGGGTGAAACTCTCGATCCCTCCTGATCTGGTTGCAGCTATTTGTGGTCTTCCTCTAAAAGTGGTTAGGATCCAGGAGCTTTTATCTCTTCCACGCTTAACATTATTAGACTACGCTCTCTGGGTAGAAGAGTGACACTGTGATACATTTAAGGAAGCAGAATATCCTTATCAGTGATTCTCAAATTGAGAAATGCATAAGTCCATTAACACTTATAACTTCAGGGGTATTTTTATTATACTATTCCTGAAATGTGTACAAACATAAAACTATGTTTTACATAGTTTACACCTTCTATAGAACTATAATATACACTATGAACTGATGATTGTTTTGCTGAATCTAAGTCACTGCTCATGACATGGGTAGTGTTGGGACTGTAGCAATGATAGGATGTGGGTGGGGATGCTTGTGCATTGGGAAGTGATCCCAGTCTCTCCCACCTTCACCTTAGCAAGACTGATGCAGAGCCACTGTGCCTGCAGAGTACTGTGATGTTACGTGGCCTTTGCTAGAAGTGAATACAGTTATGAGGTCTGTTCTTTGCTTATTAGTTTATGACACTTAAGGAATTACCACTTGGGAGTCAATGCAATGAAGCAATACGTGGTAAGAAGGTGCTGATGCTGTTTTGTTTTTTTAAGATTATGGCTGAAACCAAAATATTTAGGCACTGTCAGCGCTCAGACTGACAGAAACACTGTCCTGATAGATAAGAGCGTGAGACCCACTCGGGGCCCCAGCTGCACCAGCTTTGCTTCTGGGACACAGAGCTGGCCAGTGGAATCTCTGAATGTCCCATTTCCTCATCTCTAAGGCAGTAGGTAATGGTATCTCCCTCCCAGGGCTGTTGTGAGAACATATAGGAAGCAAGTAAATCACTTAGCTCAATGCCAGCCATGAAGTCAGTGGTTGTTCAATGAGCCTTTTCCCTGCTGAAGAAGTCATAAATAAAGGAGGAAAGATTGAAGGTTTGAACAATATAAATACTCTTTAAGTTGGTTTCTCGATAGCTTTAGAAGAACAGATCAGGGGGAAAGTAGAACGAGAATGATCAGTGGAGAAGTTTGACCACTGCCTCTTGCTCACTTTATTTGTCCATTAAAATTTTTGCACACACTTCTATGCTATGCTTTTTGCTAAGATCTAGCACTGGGCAGAAAATATTCTGTTGAAAGAGGTTTGCCCCACATATCTTACTGAAGCAGCAATAGGTATCACCTAGCAATTTGATACGAACAGGAGAAACAAATCTCTCCAGGCAAACTTTGTCCGTATATTCAGATGGTTGTAAATAAACTTGGCCAATGTTTATTCCTAAGAACTGAAAAATGATAACCTAAAGGAAGGACAGAAATACCTCTTCTGAAGTAGATTCTGTCTAGCACCCATGAAGTAGGTTTGGTAAGCCACTGAGTTTTTGAGGTAAAAACAAAAACTTCCTGTGAGCCAAGCATGGGGATATATCATGCCAGTTCTATTATGGAATATCCATGTGTGACCCTGAAACTGGCCTAAGTGTGACTTGTAAGTTAATGATTACCCTAGCAGTTGTCTAAACTACTTGGTTTCACTAGACTGCAAGCACTTCACCTGCAGAGGAGTCTCCAGAAAGCAGCATGTTCCCTTTGCTCTTTGGGGCTGGACTGGTGGTTCTGAACCTAGTGACTTCTGCTAGGAGCCAGGAACCCCTTAGTGGCTCTGGGGACCAGCTGCTCTTCCATGGAGCAGATCGATCTGACTTTGCCATCATGATCCCTCCAGCAGGCATAGAATGCTTCTGGCAATTTGCCCGCCAGACTGGATACTTCTATTTCAGTTACGAGGTGAGTACACGGCCCCTCTGGCCATACGGGGGACTTGCTTTTTTGTTTCCTTTTGCAAAGTGGGTCAGGTTTTATTCAAATAGAAGATTCTGGTTGTCTTTATTATGCTGTGATTCCCTACCTGTTAATGAAATGGACCTGCATTTAGATGGAAACTCCTGATGGATGAATAATCACTAAAACATATGGCTTGATTTCTCAAACTGGGGGCAACGGAGGTGTGCTCAAAGCCATGGGACAAACAGACTGCCTCTTCCTGGAGAGGTAATCATATATTAACTCAGATTTGGAGATGAGAGGAGAGAGAATCCATTTTTTAAAATAATAATAAGGATATGGTACAAAGTCGAATGAAAACTTACATGAACTTTGGCAACAGACCCTGAGATTTCAAAGAAAGATACTTCAGTTTATGGGACTGGGGGAGCCACATTTAGTCTCCCGCTTTAATGGGTCATTCTGGCAAACTACAGAATTACTGGCTCAAGGTCTATTTGGCCAGACAATCCTCTGTTTCTTAAGGAAGGTTAATGTTTTCAACTTGCCTGTTTACAGGCCAAGGACATTTATCTATCCTGTGGTCTTACACCACAGTGCCCAAGGATGGTGAACTCAATAGTAAAGTCAGAGGCTGTTAATTTCCTTTGTTCTTCATCTTAGAAATCTGTTAAAGCTTTCTAAATTTTGTTTACATAGTAATAAACTATTTTGATCTTATTCCATTGCACTGTAACTCAAAGCTTATTTTAAATTAGCTTATCAGAGCCTTTCCTTGTCTCTGAATTTATAACAGAACAGTAGCTACTAGTAAGCTCACTATAGCCTGGGCTTATCAAGACCCAGCTTGAGGAGAAGTGCCTACCGAATGCCTTATTTGCTGTCAAGCAGCAAGTAAACCCAAGTCTGGGAAACCACCAGGGAAGTCAAAACCAAGCAAGTTCAATCAAGAACTCTACAGCCAAAAACATACATATCAATCAATATACACCAGATGTACGTTCTGAGACAGGTCTTCTTAAAAGGAGTGTTACTGGCATTTTGGGCAATTCTTTGTCTTGCAGTACTGTTTCTAACGTGGCAGGATGTTCAACATTGCTGTCTCTTCCTACCCACCCCCCAACACCACTGTTGTCTCAACCCAAACTCCCAGGGAGGATTGGGCAGTACCATCCCCGATTGAGAACCACTGTGCTGATGATCAGGAATGTCAATCTTAGCACTTAGCTAGCTTTCTGGTGATGTAGCAGGGGCTTTTCTCCCTCTTTAATGTGTCTTGGCAGGTGCAACGGACACTGGGAATGTCACATGACCGACATGTTGCTGCCACTGCACATACCCCACAGGGTTTCCTCATAGACTCCTCTCAGAATGTTCGAGGCCAGATAAACTTCTCTATCAAAGAGACAGGTCTGTTTTAATCACCACAGTTACTGTAATAATCATAAGTGTCTTTGAAACTGAGTCAATAATGAAGTACTGAAATTACTCAAGTACATGAAATGTAAAAGCTCTGGGTTTTTCACACAGGGATAATCAAACAGTAGGGGGACTAAACTGCCTTGAACACCAAAAACTATCCTTCCAACACCAACATCAAATCTTTATTGGAGATTGCTGGCGGCAGAGGACATAAGTGGCAGGCTGTCCACTGGCAGATTCGGGACAGGGTCTCCAGGTGACTAATTATTGTAACTCCAGACTCCAGAAGCTCAGTTTTATCTCATTGCCTCCAACTGACCAGGTTATGAGAAAGTGACCAAAATAGACCCACTTGTAATACAGAATTCCAATTAACAAATTTATTATAGGATAGCATTTCTTTCTAAAGTTATCAGAATACTTGAGGCAGTTATTAAACAGCAGACTCAGAACGAAAGGAAACGCATAGCCATGAAAATATCCACATTCCACAACAAAGCACTTCTCCAGTCACAAGAAAACTTCTATAGCCAGATCGAGTCTGTCCCCACCTTGGACAACATGGGTCAGTTTTTTGGGTTTTTTTTTTTCCAAGAGCAAGCGAGCAAGAGCACAAGCACGCACGTGAGCAAGCACACAGGTGGGGGAGGGGCATAGGGAGAGGGAGAAGCAGACTCCCCACTGAGCAGGGAGCCTGACACGTGCGGCTTAATCCCAGGACTCCAGGATCATGACCCAAAACCAAGGCTGATGCTTAAGCAACTGAACCACCCAGGGGTCAGTTTTAATTGCCCTATCAGCCCGGTATACGAAAAAAGACAATGTTTTTCAACCGGGGCATAAAACAATCCATTGTGTAGCACAGGATATTCATCATCTTTGGCCCCTACCTGCCAGTAGTGCCTTCCAATCATTTTGACAATCAGATACACTGCCACACCTTTCTAATCCTGCTCCTCCCCACTTCCAAACACACAAGAAGGATGGCGACACCAGTTAAGAACCAGCACCAGTACATACCCTAAACCATCAGTTCCTGTACAAACCACCTTGCAGAAGTTACTCCATCCAGCAGAATAGCTTCTTTCATTCAAAACACATCAATTTTTTTTCTAGTTTCAAGTTCAAGATGGTATCCCCCAGCTCTAATGGTATACCAGAAGTAGGAAAAACACCATGCTCTTAATTTCAATTCATTTTGTTAAACGGAAGTTTCAATAAGAGATGTGAGAAATATAAGTTGAAAAAGATGGAGAAAAAAACATTGTTTTCAATCTAGTATAGAACTTAGTAAATTTACTTACAAATTTACTAATTTATAGAACTAAGTTACTAATATTTGGCAAAACACAGTATTGTAACTGGTACTTAGTAAAGTAAGTTTCATGGAAGATCATATAAGGTCTTCCACATCAAAAATTGAATCTACTTCCTAAGTAAAAAGAAGGAACTACAGTAGCACCTTTAACACTGGTAAACATGTATCTCCAGGGAAATCTAGAGGGTGGTAGGTCAACAAAGGGTGGAGACCAAGATTTGGTAATGATCTAGGGATTCCTACAGGTTTTTATCAGCTTTGTCTAAAAAATCAGCAAAATCACTTTGGTTCTGTGCAAGTGTACCTCAATTTTGGAGTCTTCTATGAGGGGCCTGAGATGGACCACAAACAGAAGAATGAAAGAAAACAACTGAATGATACTCTGGATGCAATTGAGGTAACTATTTTGTGGGAGATTGTGGAAACATCCTTGGAAATGGGGAATATCATCTGAGTGAGCGCTCATTTGGGGAGAAACCAAACAGGCACAGGGATCTGAAACCTTTAATTTTTAGGACTTGGAGCTCTTGAAACTCCTCACTTGTTTTATACCAGGAGTTGGCAAACTATGGTACACAGACCAAATCTGGCCCACTGCCCATTTGTCTTTTTAATTAAGATAGAATTCACCATTTTAAAATGTACAATTCTGCGGTTTTTAGTATATTCCCAAGGTCCTGCCACTATTGCATCTAATTCCAGAAGTTTCATCACCCCAAAAAGAACTCCATACCTTTTAGTCACTCTTCCTTCTCCATGCCCCCCTCCCAGTCCTGGGCAATTATTCACTAATCAACTCTCTGTTTCTATAAATTTGCCTATTCTGTACATTGTATGAGTGGAATCATACAATGTGGTCTTTGTTTCTGGCTTCTTTCACTTAGCATGTTCTCAAGGTTGATCCACATTGTAACAAGTATTAGTACTTCATTCCCTTTTATGGATGACTAATATTCTCTTGTATGACTATACCACATTTTGCTTATCCACTCATCAGCTGATAGACATTTGGGTTGTCCACTTTTTGGCTATTATGAATAATGCGGCTATGAACATTTGCATGACTTTTTTGTAAACATGTTTTCATTTCTGTATACCAAGAAGTGGTATAATCTGGTGGGTCATATGGTAACTGTTTAACTTCGTAACTGCTATTTTTCAGTAGCTAAACCATTTTACAACCCCACCAGCAGTATCTGATGGTTTCAATTTCTCCACATCTTTGCCAACATGCCACTGTCTCTTCTATTGACATCCTAGTGGGTGTGGAGTTGTATCTTATGGTTTTGAGTTCTGGCTCCCTAATGGCTAAGGACATTGAGCATCTTTTCATGTTTTTTGGCCATTTGTATATCTTCTTTGGAGAACTGTCTATTCAAATCCTTTACCCATTTTAAAATTGGGTGGTCTTTTTATTGAGTTATAAGTTTTTTATATATTCTAGATATAAGTTCCTTATCAGGTAAGTGATTTGCAGACATTTTCTCCATTCTGTGGGATGTCGTTTCACTTTTTTTTTTTAAAGATTTTATTTATTTGAGAGAGCGAGAATGAGAAAGAGAGAGAGAGCACATGAGAGGGGGAAGGGTCAGAGAAGCAGACTCTCTGCTGAGCAGGGAGCCTGATGTGGGACTCAATCTGGGGACTCCAGGATCATGACCTGAGCTGAAGGCAGTCGCTTAACTGACTGAGCCACCCAGGCGCCCCAATGTTGTTTCACTCTGATAGTATTTTTCAGTGCACAAAAGCCCACTGCCTGTTTCCGTAAACGAAGTTTCAATGAAACATAGCTATGCTCATTTGACAATTACATATGGCTGCTTTTGTGCTAACAATAGTGGAGTTTGGTAGTTGCAACAGAGATTGTATTGCCTACAAAGCCTAAAATATTTACTATCTGGTCCTTTAATAAGTTTGCAGGCCCTCGTCTTCTACCATATACAAAGAACAGAAGACATTGCCAGAACGGCAGTGACATTCGGAATACGTGCCTAAATCTAAAAATACTCTGAAAGAGCTTTCTAGTTTCAGCACTGAAATTTTGCATTATAAAATTATATCTTTTTAAACTGAAGTCCAGACCTTTTTTCATACACAGCAAAACCAGCTTTACTAACAACTACAATAATCAACTTACTACATATCATAAAATTACGAGTAGGTTACTCAACTTCCAGGTAACTTAGATTAGTGCTTGTGAGCACCCAGGTGAGACTAGATGGGAGGAAGGGAGGACCCTCTTTTTATTTCATTTTCTGTCCCACAGGAGAGTACACAGAAGGTGCAAAACAATATCTTTCACATGTGGAGATACTACAACTTTGCCCGCATGAGGAAAACGGCTGACTTTTTCCTTCTCCAATCAAATTATAACTATGTGAACTGGTGGTCGACAGCTCAAAGCCTCGTTATTGTTCTTTCTGGAATCCTGCAGCTTTATTTCTTAAAGCGTCTCTTCAATGTCCCGAAGACTACAGACACAAAAAAGCCAAGATGCTAAGCCAAAATGACTACAGCACCTTAACTCTTTTCTTCTGGGGCAGACGCTTTGTCAAAGTTTCAGTCAAATAAGCTTTGTAAAGTTACTGGAAAAAATCAATTTATCTTGTTAGAACATCTTAGTCTATTGCTCTCCTTTCCTCTCCAATTGCCTCAAAATGGCAATAAAATAATAAATGTGCAAGTTTTGATATTAACTATGAGTGTGTACTAAATGCTACCATCAAAATACTGTTCAAAATACAGTAGTCCCTTAACCTTTACTAAGTCTATTTAGAGTTAACACAGAACCTCGGGAGAAAGGAGTTGAAAAAATGGGACAAAACATATCTCAGTTTTATATGTTACATACAAAAACAGGAATTGGTAGACTGCTTTTTTGTAGTTAAAAATTTTATTTTTAGAGATGTCACCTTTGGAATTTAAAGTAAGCAGGAAAAAAAGAAAAAAGCAATATATTTAAAGAAATGTTTTATAATACAGGCAGTTTTAAAAAACTTAGTGGAATTTTTTCATTTCTAAAAAATATTTCAGTAATTCCAAAAATAATTTTGTCAGGCATGGGCAAGGTTGGAGGAGCTGAATTATTTCAGTGGTCTCTGATTAGTGCTTTCTGTCTAGTCCAGTCAGGTAAGTAAAGGTTTGTAAGGGAAATCATGTTTTAAGAAATCAAGGTGATGAAAAAAACATTAGCCTGGGATCATACCATCTAAGAAAAAGGAGAACAAGAACCAAGATATATAATCAAACTATACTCATGAGATCCTATCCTTAGTAATAGAAATACCCAGTATATGCAATATAAAAATAATTCTTACCATTTATTTAAACCTAACATTTGCCAGGCACTGTGCTAAGTGCTTTACAAACATGATTTCTAATTCTAAGACCATTCGTAGGGAGATGGTTAAAGCTGTTTTTTGAAGCAGGAGAAAATAAGCTTATCAAAGTTTAATGACGCCTCTAAAGCCATATAGCTGGTAGGTGTGAGAACTGGGGTTTGAATCCAAGGTTTTCTTGCACACCACACAGAACCTACTATATAGAAAATTAGCAGAATAAATTGCTATTATTTTATCCAAATTTCATTTGTAAAATCCCATACATGACCTACCGTTCTAATATGGCAATATCTGACTTTCATGGTATTAATAAATAATGAAGAAAATCTATTGTGTTCTTATCGTGAGTTTGGAAAACAGTGTTATCACAGACAACAATAAGCTAGCTATTCTTGTCCTCAGTTCCAATGACTTAGAACCTGTTACTCAAGACAAGAAGCCCTCTGATTCAAATATAAAACACAGTATTCTATTTAGTCACAAAGATCCGAAACACCGTTTTTGAGCCATTTCCGCATAAGAATCCAGCCTGCATTCGTCCGTAATAGAAAGAATATTAAACTAAGAAGTCCCTGAAGAAGTCACAGTGTTGACAAAATTCAACATGATGATGGAGCCTACACAGACACAGGAAACAAAGCTAGGCCCTTCCACACAGCCATAAGTCCTCGCGATGATTTCGTTTTAAGTCAAAGTCTCTTCATGCCGCACATATTCCCCAATGTCTGCTTGATGAAATACCACAATCGCCATGGGGTCTACTTTCCTGCAGTCTTGTGTAGACTTTGCTGCCACCCCAAAACCCTGGGATTCAAAAGAAGAGACACTGATTCACTCAAGTCATTCAATAGGCACGCATTGAGGGGTAGAAATAATGAAGATGAAAAAAACAGTTCTTTGAGAAATTTGAAAGGTGCTAAGAATTTAGTCTCTGAAGCGCACAGACTGAAAATACATCCTTCTTGATTAAAAAGATACTTGATTTTTGTAACAGCTACCATCTCTACTCACCAAAGGGACGTCTGCCATGGAGTACACCACCACTCCCTGGTACTGACAAGTATTTTCGGTGATTCGACCCAGTCCAGATTTCAACACATGGTTCCCATAAAGGAAGGACTGTTCTGCTCCAGGCTTTATCCACACTTTATACTACAAAAAAACAAATAAATCCAAGAGACATTAAAATGCTAATTGTTGTATCCCTGCAGATAAGCCAGCTGCTGGATATGTGATTAATTTCTTGAAAGCATTTTAAGGAAAAGAGAAAAACGGATGGTTATCTCAAATTGTTCACTCCCTAAAAAGAACTACCAGGACGTTCTTTCTTCAACTCTACAATCTCTCTCATGGATAGTTTAAAAGCTCTTTTTCTGGATCCCACTATGCTCTCACCAAAACCACCAATTTGCTTTTTTTTGAGTGAGGTCTGCATAGGCTTTTCTACTCTGCTGGACCTAACTACGACTATGCAACCGCACAGCATTCCCATGCCAGAACCCCAACCATACCCAAGCAGCAAGTCCTGCAAACACCTCCATGTGCTGGCACTGACTCCGTGGCAGCGAAGCTGCCCAATTATCTGCTTTCTGACGTGGCCCTCATCTTTGACTTCCTTCATCCCCAGTGGCCGAACGAATACCCCCCTACAAACCTTGGCATAGGGTGCAAGGTAATCCAGAGCTGTGATGTGCAACCGGAACTTGTGAGTCTTAGTGAATTTTCCGAAGCAGGTCCCCAGCGACACCAGCTTGTCCCCAGAGATGTTGGCGGCCAACTTCAGAATCTTCTCACTGAAGGGGTAAGGAAGAAGAGGGTGTCAGATGAGGGAAGCTGGTGGGACCCAGCCTCCACCCGGGTCCATTGCTGTCCACCCAGCACCGCCTCACCTCACGTAGTACACCCGGTCGTTGTGCAGCCTGAAACAGTAGGTGCCGTCGGGCCTGTCGACCAGCAGCTGAAGGTTCTCCCCGATGCTGAAGGCAAAAGGAGGACTGGAGACAGCGCCCCAACAGACTCCTCCCGGCCCCGCGCCCCCACTCTACCCGCGCCCTTCCCGCCACACACACATTTCCCCTTCCCCTCCGCACCCTCTTACTATTTCGCTATCTTCTCAAACATTACGCGGGTCTCTTCTTCAGTCAAAGGCCGCATTTTCCCGCTGGGTTACAACACCGAATCCGCGTGCCTCAGAGGCCGGAAACGGAAGTCAGCCGCCGGCCGCTCCCTGGCAACCCCAAAGCCTGCCTCTCTAGCCGCCTTCAATTTGTTCCCCACGCCGGCGCCCCGCAGCCTGGAGGACCGTCGGGAAAGAAAGCCGGCGGATACGAACCCCCGCTGCTTCCGGGCCTAGATTCTGAGCCAGCGCCCTCGCTGGGCCGGAGGGGAAGTGACGCTGCTGCGGGAATATGGCGGCGACGGCGGCAATCGCTTCGTCGACCACGGCCTCTGCCACGGCGACGGTCACTGCAGCGGCTCTCGGGGAGGTGGAGGATGAAGGGCTCCTGGCATCGCTGTTCCGAGACCGCTTCCCCGAGGCCCAGTGGCGGGAGCGGCCCGACGTGGGCCGCTACCTCCGGGAGTTGAGCGGCTCCGGGCTGGAGAGGCTGAGGCGCGAGCCCGAGCGCTTGGCGGAAGAGCGAGCGCAGCTGCTGCAGCAGACGCGCGACTTGGCCTTTGCCAACTACAAGACCTTCATCCGAGGCGCCGAGTGCACCGAGCGCATCCACCGCCTCTTTGGCGACGTGGAGGCGTCGCTGGGCCGCCTGCTCGACCGCTTGCCCAGCTTCCAGCAGAGCTGCAGGTGCGGCGGGCTCGGCACTAAAGGGGCTTTTAGCAACTGTAATAGCTGACATTTATGATGAAAGAAATAGCTAACACTTACAAAGCACTTACCATGCATGGGTCAGGCTCTCCTCTGAGCATTTTAAAAAATCCATTTAAGCTTCACAACAGCTTTGGAGGTAGGTACTGTTATTCCCATTTAATGTTATGAGTAAATTGAGACAGCTTAGGAATTGTCGAAGAGGCTCTTGGAAGCTAGTAAGTTTCCAAGTTAGAATTGGACACCAGCAGCAACTCCCTCATAGGACTGTGAGTATTAAGAGAATACATGCAAAGCACTTATCATTGGGTCTGACATAGCTAACACTCTGCAGTTGTCAGCTATAATATACACACGCAGACTGTCCAAAACTTTCACTGAGAGAAGTCTGACAACGAAATCTTACCATTTGGAGGCAGCAAAAATTATCAAAAAAATCTCTCTTTCTTAAGCCATATTCTACCTCTCTAGATCCTCAGTCTCTTATCCTTAATTCTACCTTTCATGGTAAAAGTTTAAGTTGTGAGTCTTTGTATATTTGACAATAGCTTCTGTACCCTTCCACCCTCCAGAATAGATAAAAGACTTCATAAAGCAGGTCTCTGCAATTATGGAGAAGTGAAGACTGTGGAATTAAAAGTGGAACAACAGCCTAAGAGAAGATTAAGGGGCTGAGGGAATTTGAGGGTGAGGTTGTAGCTTTTTTTTTTTTTTAAGATTTTTATTTATTTATTTGATAGAGACAAAGCAAGAGAGGGAACACAAGCAGGGGGAGTGGGAGAGAGAGAAGCAGGCTCCTCGCAGAGCAGGGAGCCCGATGTGGGGCTCAATCCCAGGACCCTGGGATCATGACCCGAGCCGAAGGCAGATGCTTAACGACTGAGCCACCCAGGCACCCCAAGGTTGTAGCTTCTAAACTGGTTAGTGATCACAAAAAGAATAGATATTATTAACATTTACTGTGTGTCAAGTTCTGTGTTAAATGCTTCATACACATCATCTCATTTAATCCTCACAGCCTTATGAGGTGGGTCCTACTACTATAGTACCGATGAGGAAAGAGTTCAGAGAGCCTAAGTACCTTGCCAACGCTAATTAAGTGGCAGATCTGGGCTCACATATTTTTATCATTTGTTAGTTGTGTGATCTTGGACAAGTTGCTTAGCCTCTCTGGGATTAAAGTTGTCTCAAGAGTAACAGTACTTACCTCACAGGTTTGGTGTGAAGATTAAATCATAAACCATCCAGCTCAGTGTCCAGTTCATAGTAAATGCTTGGTAATTGTAGCTAACTTTCGGATGTAGAGCAGTGAGCAACCAATATTCTCCTGTTTGTTACTAGAAACTTTGTCAAAGAGGCTGAGGAGATCAGCTCCAACCGCCGGATGAACACCCTGACTCTAAACCGGCACACAGAAATCCTGGAAATCCTGGAGATTCCTCAGCTAATGGACACCTGTGTCCGGAACAGCTATTATGAAGAGGCCCTGGAGCTTGCAGCCTACGTACACCGACTGGAAAGGAAATACTCC